GATTCCTGTGCTGATGCACATTAATCAAGTGTTTTAGATTGACATCTAGGTTCATTCCATAAATCTTTTCTTTGTCCTATTGACATAGGATCCCTCTTGGGAGAGCCTGACCTTCCTTTGGAAATGCTTTGTGCATTCTTCAAGAGGTGGAGCCTCTAATGAACTCTTGTCCTGATGCACACCAAGTTAACACTTTAGATTGACATCTAGGATCTACCCCAATTCTTTTATCTGTCCTATTGACATAGGATCCCTCTTGGGAGAGCATGACCTTCCTTAGGAAGTGCTTTGTGCATTCCTCAAGAGGTTGAGCCTCTGATGGACTCATGTATTGACACACATCAGCTAGATGTAGCCTTGGGATGACTTCCTTGTTGCTCTTCTAGTCTACCTCTTCTCTCCTGATGGGTTGTGGTATGGTTGTTTGTTTGCCTGTTGCTTGCTGCATTAGGATAGTCTCATGTGTAGAGTATTCTAGGCTTAGGTGCATGACTGCACTGAAAGGTTGAGCTGAGCTCCCTTTGTTTGTTTGCATTAAAAGGTTGAGTTGATCTCCCTTTGCTTGATTGTTGTTATTTGTTTCCTTTGCTTGTTTGCATTAGAAGTTGAGGCTTCCTCCTTCTGCTTGTGCTGATGCATAGCATATTTACATATCTTTATCTCAGTAGCTTGATAGCTTTGTACTCATCTGCTTAATGATTTTTGTTGGTGTTTACCTCTCATATGCTCCCTTAGGACTCTCACTCCCTTGTTTAAGGAAGTGATGATAGACTTTAGGTTGAAACCTTTGCATGATAACATTAGGGTAGATTCCCTTCTAAGCCTAACCAATAGGATGAATCCATTGCATGACAACAGTAAAATACGTAATCAAGGCAAGAGAATACCGTACGTTACGATCCTTAAGCTACTTAGGAAATGGTTATTTGAGGGTTTCCTTCCAGTAATCAGGATGTTTAGTATGGTACTCTTTGGGTGACATGCGACGCATTCACTCCTAAGTCATAGTCTCTAGTGCATTACGAACTACAAACATCCATAAAAGACACTTCTTTCGTAAAAGACAAAAAAAAAACAAATATCAAACCTCTTTTTGCCCCGTGGGCCCGTAATTCAAGGAAAACCTTTTTAGAAAAAAGAGTGTCGTTAACTCTCAGTTCTATCGCAAACGGTAACGTACGAGTCTCCGACGAGCAAGCTGCATACACCAAACTGTTGGGACTGTTTGTTAACCCTACTCGGGTAGAAAAAAGATGAATCAATCTGTGTTTCGTTATCCCGAACTACGTTCGCTCTGATTTCTCTGATGAGAATACGTAGGCACAAGACGCGATGTCTTGGCGAGAAATCTTCCCTTCACCCGTAGTTAGCCGAACTACGTTGACTATGATTTCTCGTTCTCTGACGAGAATACGTAGGCACGAAGCTGCGAGGCTTTGCCGAGTCAATTTTCTTTTCTTTTGAACCAGCCTTGATAGGTAGATAGATAAACAACCCGTCAGATAAACACAACAAGCGTGGATCCCGTTGAGTACAACGGACGTGAGGGGTGCTAATACCTACCCCTTGTGTAACCGACTCTCGAACCCAGACTTGGTTGCGATGACCTTGTCTTATACCTTTTCGTCAGGTTTTTCCGATCGTTTCCTTTCCCTTTCTGTGGGATAAATAACAAAAGGTGGCGACTCTTTTGTTTTGCCGGCACCTTATTTTCGCGGTAGCGACAACTACAACCCTTTCACGAATCAGCGTCAGATGGGAAAGGTTGCATATCACCTAGATCTTACTCCTTATTCACGGATCCCCCCCGTTTTCCATGTCTCGCAGCTTATAAAGTACCATGAGCCAGTTCCATAGTCTCGTTTCACTCTTATTCCTTATGAGTTTGAAGAATTAGACCAAACCACACAAGTATCACCAAATCAACCTTCTTTGGACTCACAAGAGCACAAGAACCAAGAACATGCAAGAGGTATCTCAGTTTTGAATGAAAAAAGGATGAGAACGCGACACATGAAAAACAAAACAAGAGAAGGACTTTGAAAATTTTGGGGGAAAAAGTTTGAAACAAGGAGAAGATGTTCAAAAGCTTGAAGTGAAAAGTAAAGTGAATAGAGAGAGAGAGAGAGAGAGAGAGAGAGAGAGAGAGAGAGAGAGAGAGAGAGAGAGATAATGAATTTAATGACTTTCACTTCCCAAGTGTGAAAACTTATATACAATCTGTCTCTTTAGTTGACAAACAACGTTCCAACGGATACACAGCAGCAACATCCACACCGTAGGATACATTGGATTCTTTAAAAATTCAATCACCACCATTCTTTTTATCACCTCGTGATGCGTTCCTACCTAACCCTCAGTCTTTTTCTACTTCTTCACGTGACGCTACAGTCACCGAGACAGTCTCACGGTCTTTTGCTACTTCTTCACGTCAATCTACTTTTCCACTTATTTCAACGACTCCACCAGGCCCACATGCAATCCCAAATCCTATCCCACTTACACCAGTTGTAATCCACTCTCCTAATGCCAACCGACACAGCCCTACTACCTGTCCCAATGGGTCATCTCCTTGGGTCACTACTTTCCAACCACCTAATACTAGTTCTAAGCCCAACCTTAAGGACATGGTTGTTCTTGGGCCGGATAGTATTGATGGCAGGCCCACACGAATTAAAACCCAAACTAAGTGGATGCAAGATTATGAGACTAAATAAAATGCTTTATTTAATTTTATGTTATTTCTTAGTTGGGCCTGTTTCCTTTTGTGCAACCCAATAGGGTTTTGTTGTATTTAAAGTTGTTATTTTGCCTTTGGAGGGCATTAGACAATATTCAGAAATTTCTTATCTTTCTCATTTCTTCATGTTTTGTGCTTATCTTTTGGTAAATCCTAGATCTAAAAATAGTTTTTCTCTTTATCACAAAATTATTCTAACTAAAACGCACAAACAAATTACTCCATGTTCCATTGAATCTTTATATACAACCAATCCACTCATGCCGCGTGGAAAGCCTACTACAAACGTTCAGTACAAGATTTTATTGTTGGTTTAGGAGTATTATAGTGGTCAAACCTTCAAACTCAAATGAAAGATTTGAAAGCTTGGTTGCCTTAATGATTACTATTTTTGTTTTATTATTTTAGTCTCTGATATTTAAAGTGTATTGTTGTTGAAATAAATTTTATAAAATATCAACCTTTATTTTATGTTTCCTCCTTTTAGCTCTACTCTAATTTATAATGTAATATATGGCACTGTTTATAGTGCGCAAGTACTTAGGTCTCGATGCAAGAATTCTAACTAGAGCGAATATGGCGGCCAGGGGTATAATCTTCAATTCTCACGAGTTAGTTTGCATTTTTTGTTTCAACATTGTCGAGGATGTCAATCACATCTTATGTGTGTGTACGTGCATTGTCCTTGTTTGAAGGAAGATAGCGGATTGGGTGGGAATTCCTTGGTTGGAGGAGGTCAACGCGTGCGACCACTTGTTTGAATGGTTCTTGAAAGTGGTGAAGAAAAACCCCAAGTCTACGACTTATTTTATTTGGATCTCGACATGTTGGACGATTTGGTGGGCGTGGAATCACATAGTTTTCAACAACATGATTGGTAGATATAAAGATATTTCAATGAGAGAGATTCAAACACCATGGTCTTGGTTGGAGTTTGGATTTAAGTCCAAGCCTAAGTGTATTTTTTATGATTGGTTCAATGCTCCCTTTGATTATTTGATCTAGGTGTGAATGTGGCATTCTTGCATTTTCATGTTTTTTTAAGGTAGGTTGATTGGTGTTTTCTTGTATATGGATTGGTTTACTCCTAATATGCATTTTTAATCAATTTTTTGCTTATAAAAAAAGAGTTTTTTTTTTAATTATTTGGCTGAGATTATTTTATGGAGATTTTAAACTGCAACAGTAAAAAAAATTCAATGACGAGGACTTTTAACCTTTGTAATATATTGTACTCGTAAATAATATTATGTATTGTATTTAAAATCCTCACAAAATAACACTTGCTAAATAATTGATAAACAAAGGAAAAATATTAGTCTCACATGGTGAGAAACCTATATAGGTTACGCACCGGGAGACGTAGTGAAAATACATTGACTGTCAAAAGATTTTTTAACCGTTGTGCCACTATTTGAAATAATATATACCAAAATGCCACAAGTTGAAGAAAAAAAACACAAGAATGCCACCATTTTAGTATGGGTTTGGCCAATAGTTGGATGACTCTTTGAAGAAATTTTCAAGATTCTGAGTATTAATTATATTATTTAATATATATTATTATATAATTAATAATAAAAAATGTGTAAATTGTTTTAAAATGATTTAAATAATATAATAATATTAAAAAATAATAATTATTTTTTTTAAATAATATTATAATAGAATAAATTATATATATTTTTTAAAAATTATTTTTAAAATAAATATCAATTAATACCATTTTAATATTTTAAACATAATTTATCATTATCAATTGCACATCAACAATTCCGTGAAGAAGCTCGGCCAATGAGCATGGAATATTTTATTATTTTTAAACAATTTATATATAGCATTTTTTGGGTACCTCTAGATCTCAGATCATCCACATCCATTTCTTCATTTCAGTATCTAAATTTTCTTTGAGAAGCTTGGTCAGATGGTTAGAAGGAGAAATTCCCGAAGGTGAAAAAATTAGAGGAGTTGAAAGACTTGTTAAAGACGGAGATGGAAAGGCCTTTAAAGCCGTAAAAAACGATTATGATTGTGTTATCCTAAGCAGATATAGTCCTGATGGTTGTAATATCCTAAGCATGTTTATATTTTAAATCGTTATAATATTTATCGTCTTGTTTATTTGGGTGCGGTTTATTTATTATGATATTGTCGAATGTTGAATGAAAGTTGTATGAGACAAATTAAAGTTATATTAATTGAAATCCCACTAAATTAAAGTTATATTAATTGAAAGTTAAGTTAAAAAAAACAAGTTAATCTAGACAGGTCGATTTGAAGGGCCTGCTACATTTGGACATTTCCTACGCATATGGCCAATTTCTCGACAAATCTCACACCATCTCTTTTCTTTCTCAAGATCGTCCATTTTGGTTCTAATTCTTATACTATTTGGACGTCCTTTCTTGTTCCTTCGTATTGTCTCGTCGTGGCAAAGAGTAAGTCCTTCATATGTTGGCCAATTTTTGTGGTGTCGAAGTCCAAGGAAGCTTTCCTTGTAGACTTTAAAAACACTCAGAACCTTGAAAACATCTGGTATGTGCATGTTGTGGTCTTGCCGTATGCTTGCAGATGTTGCGATTACATGGGAGCACGGTAAATTAAATGCTTAAAACTTCCACAATCGCACCACTCTCTCCTGAGGTCACGCTAAAAGTACCTAATGGCCGACCATCATTTTGATTAATCCTTTCGGCAACCATAAAAAAGAATCTCTCGCGATCGAATTGGATGACGTTATGGCTGCTAGATTTACTCGCTTCTTCAGCTATTACCTTATTATATTTATCTATGAAACGTTTACTGGAAGCCAACATTTTTGTCTAATCATGGCCTCATTTTTCAAACAGCAATCCCAGACGATAGTATGTAAATTTGACCATTGCAATAATAGGAAGGTTTCGGGTAGCCTTCAGTACCGAGTTCATTGCTTCAGTTATATTTATTGTCATGTATCCCCACTATTGTCCTCCGTCAAACGCCTTCACCCACTTCTTTCGGGGAATACTGTCTATCCATTCAAAAGATGCTCTATTTATTCTTCGTATTTCGCCCCGATAGTAGTTAAATGTTGCTTCCTTCAACGCATATCATGTAGTAAAAACGTTAGGTAAAACATTTGAAAATGAATAACTCAATAAATATTTATTGTAACTATAAACATGTGAAGATGGAGTCATACAAATGTTGACAAGTGTTTTCCGCAGTTCTTTGTTTCTGAACTCACGTATGAAGTTTTGTGCATGAACTCACGCAAGCTGATAGGGTCAAATTGCAGTTTGGATTTGAACAAGAAATCCCTTTTCATCCTAAATGTCTACGCGAACACCATGAAACTGAAATGCCCAATATATGAGGAGATCATTGGTGCAATCTAAATAAAGAAGAGAACAACGAGTGGAGAAACAGAAGAAATTTGACCTTGAGAGGTAACATGGTTAATGGTAACTATGTGTATAGAGATGCATATATGCAATGGTTTTTATCCATTCGATTTATGCATGCTTCTCAAGGTCAGTTCCTAGACGACCCCCGTCAATATGCATCTTCTTCATCACAGCAAAGAGTCTCGCCGTCCATGCATCAGGAAATCCCCCATATGAACTCTTCACAATTTCAATCCTAGACATCTTCATTCCCCCAAAACACATTCCATCACCCCCAACCAACATATCACCACACCCATACCACACAACAACACACATTCTTTGTCACCTCGTCTCAACAACCAACACTATACACCCCAACTCTCAAGCTAACTTCTACTACCACCAAGAATACCATCAACTGTCATACCCAAAATTTGTCCTACCCATTTTCAATTATTTTCACTTTTCGATTTTATTTTCTATTTTACGTTGTCTGCCTATTTCTTGTTATTTAGACACGTGTCCGCTCGCAATTGATCGATTTTTATAGAAATTTATCTTTATGACCAATTAAGGTGTGACATGTGGCCTAAAGACATTTTGTGGGTATTTTTATTTTTTATTTTTATTTCTTTTTCTTATTTATTTATTTATTTATTTATTTTATTTTATTTACTTCCTTAAAATTTTTATTTTTTGTTATTAATAATATTTTTAAGTAATTAATATTGTTTTAATTCTATATATTTGTTAATATTTACTTAATTATATTTGTTAATATCTTATTTGTTAAAATTATGTTAGTAAGTTTTGTTTTATTTTAATTAGAAGAATAGAAAGTTTAGTATTTTTTTTTGAAAGAAGGTTAGCAAGAGATTGATAAGAAAATTGAAAAGAGAAAGAAGTTATATGGTAAGATTGGCCCAACGGTGGGAGGCCCAAAAACAGACTGTACATAAGTGAAAGAGGATTCATTGGAAAAAGGGAGCAAGTTACTGTTCACTACCCCTTTCAAACCCTAAAACGGCGCCGCAGGAACCCTAAATCAGGCGCTATTCACTACCCTCTTCTTCATCACCTTCTCCCGCCGCTAAACCCTTTTCCTTCTCATCCTTAAAACGACATTGATCCAACCGCCGCGAACAACATTCGTCGCGCACCATTCTCCTCGCCTCCGGACCTTTTCCCCTTCATCTTATCCCTCAGCAAAACTCATCTTCCTCTACCCTCAATAAACCCAAACGCAACTCACCCTCTCTCTTTCTGCCACAACCAATAAAAGTGCAAAGGGTTGTAACTAAACCAAACTCATCTCGACACGGCGGATGGAGCTGCGTTTGTAACAGACATTGTCGGCAAAAAGGAAAAGGGGTAGCAGTTACATCCGGCGTTAAGGATTCAGTTACAGCGGTACTAGTAATCTCACAGCAGCAATGTTATCTCGCTCAGTTTCGCAATACTTCGATTCCGTGTCGCAGCAACATAACATCAACGACATTTTTGCAACATCAGTAGCGCAGAAATAACTTCAGCTCGCGACAATACTTCTGCAACCACGGAAGGAACAACTTATCAACAGGATTTTTGTTTTCAGCTCAATAGATTACATTCGAAGCTCGGTTGGTTTTTTTCTTTTCAGTATTTAACCGTGGATATTAGGCGTTTTCTGTGTTTTTTAGTTGATGTCATTATTTTCATTTCGTCCCAAAGTTAACATTGAATTTTATTCGGTTAGTGCATTGTTGTTTGTTGAGATTGTGATTTTGGTTCTTAGATGGCTTACTGAAAAACATGGAGAAAGTTTGTCATGCTATAATAGTATTATGTGATGTTCAGATCTGTGCTGCAGATGTGTTGCTGTTTAAGTGAGTTTTGTAATCTTATTATTATGTTCAATGAAAGTCTTGGTTTAGATTTACACTGTTAATAGTTTGATTTTTAAGCTTGTGATGTGAGGTCTTTATGCAGAACTGATATTCTGCTATAAGTTTGATAATTTGCAACTCTGTTATTTTTTATTATTTTGTATGTCCATTGAGTTTTTTGCCTTTATTTGTTTTTTTATTTTTATTTCTTTCCAGTTTTTTTAGCCTATGAGTTTTTCATTCAATAATAACTTTTTGATATGGTTTCTTTACCTGTATCATATTTGTGTTATAAAATGACTTTAGGTGTTAAGTGTGGTTTCTTTTAGCGTACCGCGCTGAGGGTGGACTACGTGTGTCTACTGTTTGGATTAATTATGCATACTTAATTAATGAATTGAAATGGGTGGTATAACATGCTCACTTTTAAATAATTTACTAGCAGTTGTTTTCCATTATGCTAGAAACGTGTTAATATGTTTCATCTTTTGTTTTATTCAAAGTTGTAAACAACAAATCATGTATTGCATTAAATTAATTACTAACCATTTTGCATTGCCATAAAATTGGATTATTTTTGTTAATTTACAATTTTGATGTAGTCACCGAATTTTCAACACATTAATGGATATATTTTGCCATGTTAGGATTGTATCACCATTTATTTGATTAATTTAAAGACAATTCAAAAATATTTTCTAAACAAAATCATGGACTATTTTAAAGTGTATTTTCAAAATATGATTAATTTCTTAATCCAATTTATTCTCAACACACAACATTTTCTTAATCAATAACGAAAAAAAACTCTTAAGGTCTAGCATCTTTTGAGTTCTTGAATAATCACTATTGGGGCGTACGCCTTAGGTAGTACATTATTTGACTTTTCGCTTCAAAATACGCCCTTTAATTATTTAAACAAGGAAATGTCATTGGAGTCTAGCATTCTACGTGATACTTTTGTTGTTTATTCAAACAATATTTTATAAATTGAATCAAAATTATTCTTCTATTTATTAAGTAATTTATTTAATAAGATAAATTCAAAATAGATTTTATTTTAAAGAGATAAAACTTTGAAGCAATAATATTTCTTAAGCCTGTTTAATCAAATCATTTTTAGTTAAATTACGAAAAATTAAACTCTTGAAGTCTAGCACTTCTTGAGTTTTCGAATGGATATTATTGAGGTGTACACCTTAAATAATGTTTTGTTCAACTTTTCTCTCTTTAAACATACTCCATTTTGAACAAAGAAATATCATAAGAATCTAGCATTCCGTGTGATATTTCCATTGTTCATCCAAGTCTAAATCGAATGAAAAATGTATCGTCGAGATCGAGCATCTCGATAATACCCCGATTAATTGGTTGTAAGGCCGACGTCTCATTTATCAAATAATCATCATTTCTCCCATAATTTCAAATTCAATTTCGTATTCTTTTCGCATATTCACAAGTTATCTTCATACCCTATTTCGCTTCAAAGCATTTTCAAAACACTTTTCTCAATTAAAACTTCGAAAGAAAGAAGTTCTTGGAATCTAGCATTCCTTGAATTTCCGAGTAAATAATTCTCGAGGCACGCTCTTGAGTTGTTATTCACTCAACCTTTTGACTCTTTCAAACCAAATCATTTTTCAAACATTTTCAAACGTATCCTAAGTCGAGTGTTCATACGCATTCGCAACCATCGACATTTCACACACACTTCACAATTCCTCATAGTTTCGATATTAGGGGCACCCTTAGGGACTAATATCGTTTCTCACAATCTTAACCCTTGACACATCGTCAAGTCGGTTTCATTTTCAATCAAATCCTCGACACGTCGTCGAGCCATTTTCAAACCAACTTCCTTTGGCCTCGCATGCCATTTTTCGATTCGATCTTTTCACAAACGTTTTTTAAACTTACGAAAGAGGGATATTCCTAGAATCTAGCATTCTTTGAATATTCGAATGAGTAACTCTTGGGCGTGCCCCCGAGTTGTTATTAGTTCATTCTTTCAATTTCAAAACATCCAACTCTTATCTTTAACTTATTCAACTCAAATTCCGAAAGAACTGAGTTCTTGGGATCTCACATTCCTTGAATTCTTGAGTGACAAGCTCTTGAGGAACGCCCTTAGGTTGTTTGTCAGTCACTCTTTCGTCTCTCAAATCAATGTCAAACTTATTCAATCTCGTTTCTCTTCGTGGTTGTTACCACGAACTACGACTGCTCTGATTCTTCATTCTCGTTCGAATGTAAGATACGTAGGCACAAGATTGCGATAATCTTGGCGAGCTACCTCCCATCCATTTCCCCGT